GTGGGTTAATGAGATGCTGTTCATTAAGTGTCAACTCCACCTGGACCACAGCAAGCTCTCAATGATGGGCAGCTCCAGCACAGTGATGAGGTTGGTGGTGATGATGTTCAGACACAGCACACAGAGCTGCTCAAAGGGTGACAGTATTGGTTCGATCCTCATCATCCCCATGTTCTAGAGGCAGAACCTGGAGCTCAGATGGGTTTAGTGCATTCTCAGGCCACTGCCAGCTAGTGGCAGCCCAGGACGTCTTGCACCCAGGGCTTCAGCTGCAAAGCCACGACCAGTCCATTGCTTTATAAAGGCCACTAAAGACTAGGGCTGGGGTGAAAGGAAGGGAGGGGATATCCAAATGTGGGACCATTGACAGCTCAGCTCTGCCACTCAGAGCCAGATCCTTGGTCCCAGGAAACCAGCCAGGACTTCAGGACTATGGACAAAAAGGAGGACAGTGTCACCCTTGGGGGCTGGAGGAGGACAGGAGGCCACTAGAAACTATGACCATGCTCAGGCTCAGCTGCAGGGGCTGAACTCCTGGGAGAAGAGTAGGTGGAAGGAAGAAAGAGCAGTTTCTTCAAAAGAAAGAAAAGAAGAAAGTCAGCAACTTTGGCCACATGAGGCTACAAATAGTTTACATTCATCATAATCAACACATCTACCTATGACCTGGGGGCTCAGAGGTGCAAAAATATGTGCACAGAGATTTCCATCCCCATGGCAGCCATGGGTAAAGCTTTAAGAGCTTTAGCAGATGTCCACCTGAGCTCTTGGAGAAGAGGAGACAGCTTTTCAGTCGCCATTCCCAGGATGCTTAGAGGAGTTTGGGCAGGGAATTAAGAGGTGAGAGATTTACCAGGAATTTCCACACTATAACCACATTTGATAGCTTTAATGGCTGAGACCAACCAACAAGGCTCAGAGAGCTCTAGTGACTTATTGAAGATCACATGACTTGCAGGAAACTGAACTGGGACCCAGCCCTAGGTCTTCGTATTTAGGGTGACATGCTTTTTCTAGTACACCCAGGCAGTTAGGTACGGGGTGCAAAGTGGGTGTAGTGGGCAGTTGAAAATCAGGAACTAAAAGCAGGTATCTGAAAACGGACACTGAGCAGAGCCTGCGTGGCCAGGGCCCAAGCTCTCTACCAGGCAGTATTTGTGCCCAGCTCTGTCTGCAAAGTGTCAGAGACTGGCCCTAACAGGTAGTGAGGCATGGAAAAAGGAAGGGATCCCAGCAGGTGGCCTCACCAAGCTGAGCAGTTCCTACAAGGGGGCTGCCTCAAGACTCTGCCCTTCCCAAGCCAGTGGGGCCTCAGAAAAGATGATGGTGACATCCCAGGGACCAGTTACTAAGTCAAGGCTTGGGTCCAGGAGCAGCAAGCTCTCTACTCTCTCACCCAACTCAGCTGACCCCATTTGCCTGGACAGCAAAGGGGCTTCCTGTTAGGAGCCGGTGTGCCATGACCTGGTGAGCATTTAAAAAAATCCTTATAAAAGCAGAAGGCTCACAACTCGAGGTTCCTGGTCATGAGATCAACTCCCAAGGGAGCCTGGGTGACTCAGGCCTCTGAGCTGGTCCCAATCCTGTCCCTCTGTTCTCCACTCTGAAGCCAGCCAGATGGCAAGGTAAGCTGACCAGGTTGCTCACTGGGTACAACCCTTTAGTGCTTCCTCACAGCCCTGGGGATAAAAGCCAAAGGCTGTGCTGACACATAGGACCCTTCTTCATCACCCCCTGCAGGCCTTTCCAGGTGCCACTGACTTTTCCTCACATTCCTAGATAGTTTCTGATGGGCCCAGCCGTGTCCTGTAACTGCCATTCTCTTATCCCATAACATCCCACACCACGGTGTCCACACCACATGTGACGGGTCATATTAATGCCTAGAATTCTAAAGAGATGCAGTGTATTATCCCACTAAAGAGGTAGAGTATTTCCTTGCCCTTTGACCTCACATGAAGACATGTGACTTGCTTTAGCAGAAGTGACATGCCTAAAGTCTTGAAAAGTGTATGATTTGGGTTTGCCCTCTTCTGCTTTTTCTACCACCATTTGAAGATCACACCTAGGTTAAGCTGGTAGCTCTAGGAAGAGAATAAGAGAATAAAGGAGCAGAGTTGCCTAATCAGGCTCAACCTGAATCACATGACCCCAAGCATTGAGCAAGTTCAGCCATGATTACAGAGCCACTAGCAAGCCCAGTCAAAATCAGTTGATCCTCTGCTAACTCACATTAGTATGAACTAGACAAATGATGCCTTATGTGCCATTGAGATACTGAAAATATTTGTTACACAGCATACTATAGTGGCAGCTAACTGATATATCAGTTTGAACTGAATAATTCCTATCTATTCATCAGATCTCAGCTGAGGTAGATGTCCTAGTCCCTTGAAAGACCTATTGCATAGCTCAGGGCCAGGTGCTCCTCCTCCGGCTCCCATAGCACCTCAGCATTTACCCTTCCTGAGACATTTGGCTTACACTGGATCATACTTGCTATTTCTCTTTCCTGTCTCCCTCACTGGATTTGGTGCTTCTTTAGGTCAAACAACTGCATGACATTGACAATGGCGGGTTTAGAGGGATTCAATGATAATTTGTTGGGAGAATAAACATGGAACTGGCCTTTTCCAAGGGGTGGAAGCAAAGAGGACGTCTCACATTTCCAATTCAGCTTACTACCTTCACGGAAAGTGCCCAAAGTGGGAGAAGACTCATGGGAGTTCTCTGCTTCCAATGGACACTTACAAACGCGCATGCGCAAACTCGCACCCCACCATTGCCCAGGGTGCACTCTCCTGTCCGCCTGCTTGCTTGGTGACGAAGCGGTTTTTGCACCACTTTGCTCCATCTTTCTGCAATATCCTCCAGCAAATCAAGCATCCCCTTCTTGGGATGTTTTCAATCTGTTTTATGTTGATTTTAATTAAAGAATTCGAAACTGAACAAACAGTTCCTAGCAGGTGGCCATACAAGTGTGAAATAAGCAAACTGTTTTATCTGCCACAAACTCTGCTAGTAAATTTCTTCAAATTAATCCCAGCCACCGAGAGTCTGCTGATTCCAAGGAGAAAGCTAAGCAATCCCAGCCTCCAAATATTTGCTTTTGTTACAGCTCCTGAAGCCAACAACTGGTGGTGTCCGCCTTTGCTCCGCCCTCATCTATCTTATCTCCCAGACCCATCTCTAGTAGCCCACTGGTCCAACCCTTCTGCCAGATCGAGGCTCAACTGGCCTGGCTACTGGGTTCCATGGCCAGAACTCCAATAGGGTGGGCAGATGCCAGGAAGAACTCTGGGCCCCTCTCTGAGCACCGTCGCTCCACACGCCAGGCACCAGGCGTCTGCTGCCACTACTCACCCTGCTACCAGAGTCTGGCTGATCCCACGGGTGCCTGCATACTCCCAGGCTGAACCGACTTGGGGACCAGGACAAGGCTTACTTCCCTTCCCCGGGTACGACTCAGGAATGAAAGGAGCCCTAGAGAAATGCTACCACATAGGCCATGCCAAGGCTATGAGGCAAAGGACCACTCCCATCACCACGTGGAAGTATACCTTAGCCTGACCTTCTGGGAGACCCAGTTTGTCACTGCATATTAAAGGTTTTAGAATTTGTCTTATTTTTGGATCCCAAATTCCACATGTAGGACTTTATCTGAAAATAGATAGATAGATAGATAGATAGATAGATAGATAGATAGATAGATGAATCGTCAGTTTGTGCCATGGTAATGTTTACCTTAGCAACGTTTACCTAACAGCAAGAATTGGGAGTGATTTGTTGGTCAACAATAAGGAATTGGTAAAATAAATTGTGGCTCAGACATGTGAAATATTGTAAAATAATATTTAATACATGGCACATAATCTTATGATATCAGAGGGGAAAAACGGCTATAATTTAATATATAGAGAATAAATTTATTGTTCCCTTAGTACTTTCTGTGTCTAATATAGAATATATTATATTACTTATATAGTATTATATATTCTTTATATAATATATAATATACACTATAGTAAATACTATATTATTATAGTAAATAATATAGTATATTGTTCTATATGTAGTATTCTAGATATAGCATATGTAATATATTCTATGTATAGTACAGATATTGCATATGTGTTATTCTAGATGTGTAATATGGGTGTGCACATGAGAGGAAAGGACTGCAGAGAGAGAAACTAAAATGTTCGCAGTGCTTTTCTCTGTAGGTATTGGGAATATAGGTGATATCTTCCTTTTCTTTCGTTGTTTTTTTAAATCATCATTTTGCTAGTTTTCTAATATTGAGAAACCTGGCTGGGGAAGTTGTGACCTGGCCATGACACAGATACAAACTAGCTTTATGCTGGCTCCCAGCCTAACTCTAAAGCCAGCTCTGGTGTCATTAATATCACACTGTGCCAATTTCCTAATTTACACACAATGTAGACAGGAAAACAGGAGGCCAATAAGGCTGCACCCAGCTTCCGTGATAATTCTACAGTGTGTCCTGTACCGCATCTGGGAGAGAGAGATGGGCAGGAGGTAGAAGGTACAAATTCAGCAGAACTGAGAGTCACCTGTTGTCCCTATTCACACCAGCATCAGAGCAATCAAGACCAACAATGAACAGGTATTCACTATGTGAAATGATGCAAAGGGATAGCACCAACAAGCAAACATTTCTGCCCACTGTAATTGCAGGACCATCCCTAGAGGACAGTGGTATTTCTAGTCAGCCCCGGGGAACAGAGTCACCTATGCTCAAGTACAAAGTACAGGTTCAGTCAGCCACCATCCCCTCTACAAAGGCACCAATGCTTCTCTTGGAACACTTCCTACTGGTCCCCTCCACCCTCCAGGACCAGCCCGGCCTCAGGTGCCCCATCTGCATGGCAGCTTGCAGCAAAGAGAAGAAAATCTCTGCCTCTGTTAAAGGGACCCTAGCGGCTTTGGGGATAAACACCTAAATATCATTGAATATAAGGAGTTTTTCTCTTGCTCACAGCACAGTCCAATGGGGAGTCGGCTCCACACAGTCACTCACAAACTCAGTCTCCTTCCGTCTTGTGGCTCCACCATCCTTTACCACCTGAGTACAAATGGAGAAAGTGAGCAAAGATTACACAAGAGATATTCCCAAGGGATGGACACCTCTGCTCACACACACACGTTGGCCAGGACTCAGTCCTCTGACCACATCGAACTGCAAGAGAAATCTGGGAAATGTAGTCCATCATGTGCAAGTAGCAGAGGAAGCCCTGGGCTCTGGTGAGAAAGAGCAGGTACTACCCTCACTTCCCTCCTCATTACTGGGTGACCCTCTTGGAAGCATCTCAGCAGCACAGCCTCTCACCAATGATGCATGCAATTTCTCATGAAGTGGCTCTTTCTCACAGCCATATTTACTTTCCCTAGGTCCCAGACACAGTCCTGATGGGGAGGAGTGGTCAGGGATATAGCATAACACTGGGAACACAGATGCTCCTCAAAAGTACCTGTCCAGAAGAAGTGAATAAGATTCCACCTCAGCCACTCACAGCCCAAACACTTAAAAATTCTAAATTGCCAGAAACCATGTCTTTCTTTCCATGTTTTTAAACTTAGCCTTTCTGAGGTATTTGACACCAGTGTGCCTTCTAGACAAGCACTCTCCCACTGTGACACTTCCCCAGCCCCGTATGCCTTCTAAAACACTCTCGCCCCTCAGCTGCATGACCCTGTGCTCCCCTAGTTTCTCTTTGCCCCTCTGACTTGCCGCTCTGCCTCCTGTGAGGGTCCCTTTCCTTACTCTTTAGCCACCATGTGTCTCCCCACTCCTTCCCTTCTTGTCATCTTGACCCACTGCCTCCTGGGCACTCACCTGTACCCCATCTCAGGTACTACCTTTCTCCTCCGCCACAGACCTCTCCACCAAATAAAAAGGGTCTGGCATTTCTAATGCCTCCTGGTCACATGCACGTACTTCTATGTACTTCATGTCCACCCCAGGGCTCGCCCTCATCTTCCTGAAATCTGCCATTGTCCCTCTCTTGGTTAACCTGTTTTGTCCCATTATTCTCAGATATAGAACACCTAAAAAAAACTTAAGTTGGGCAACAAATACACCCCTTTGGTAACTTTGAAATAATATTTGAATATTTATTATGTTCACTGCATTGAAAACTTGGGACTTAGTGGGTTAATGAGACCCCCATCCACCCTGTCACCCAGGGACCATCCTTGGGGGTGGGGGGAGGGTCCTCCCAGAGTCCAGCTCTGTCTAGAAAAGTGGCAACAAGCCCTGGCACATGGAACTCCTTGGTGCTTCTGGACACTGTCTTCTTCAGTGCCTCCACCTCCACTCTGCCCTCACCATCTCTCACCCAGACCCCCAGAAGACATGTCCCCAGTCTCCTTCCTTCCATTCTTCCCTTTTCAGCCACACTTTCCCAATGAAGTCAAAGTGCTCCTTCTAGAAACACAAGCTTCCCCATGTCACACATTCCAGACATATAAGGCCTGAGGACCTCAGGGAAAGGCCTGAGGACTCCTTAGTCCCACAGGAAGTGCATACCACCCTCTGCATGGCCCACTTCCACTCTAACAGGCCTCATCCTCTCCCGCACTCTTCTAACCGCATTCCCCACCTCTCCCTGCCATGCCCAGGACCCCTCGCCTGCATGCACACCTCTGGGTCTAAGTTTGCACCATTCTCTCCTGCCCCTCCTGGAAGAATCCTCCACATCTTCCCTGAGCAAATGACTCCCCACGACCAGCACCCAAATAAAACAAGGTCAAGTGCTCCCACCTCTATGGCCCCCCAATCATTTTTCCTCTCCCCACATCTTATGATACTCATTCATTTCTGACAGTGGGCTTCTTAAGATCCTAGCACAGGGGCTGTCATTGTAAAGGCACATGAGTTTCCAGAACAGGGCCTTTCCCCTCTCCTCCTCAGGCCAGGGCACTGTTGAGAGGCGCCATAATGAGAGGCGCTGGCCAGTCCAGGTTTCCACCCTGCTGCTCTTCCCCAGTGTGGTCTGGTGGCGCCTGGCCACAGCCTTCTCTGCATCTCTGCCGAAGCTGCCTTGCCCGTAACCTTGAAGACACAATGCCAGCAAGGACCCTCTCTGCTGCAGAGCCCTGCATGCTGATGAGTTTGTGCAGGGGATGGGAGAGGCAGGTGGCCTATGTCCATGGCTCCTCCTCCTGTGAGGAAATGATGAGAAGAAATCCTCCCCTTCCTCTCCTGCTCTGTGCCCTCTCAGAACTGCTAATCGGGATCTTGTAATGATCATCCCAGCAGCAACTTTCACGAATGTCTCTCCCAGGTACAGTGACAGGCTGGAAGCGAAGCCAAACCCACTACCTGTGGTGGGATTGCCCAGCTGCCATCCCAAGCAGGAGATGGGGTGCCACCTTCCTAACCTGGTGGCAAGGAGGGTGAGCTGCACATGTGTGTCACAGCACCATCCCCACACACCCACACACACTGATCCCCCACACAGACACATTCCCTCACCCACAGGGAGAAGCAGCATGTACAGAGGATATGCCCTCTGGCCCCTCACCTGGGGCAAAGGCCACTGTCCACATCCTCTTTCCTGCTTATGCCCATACTGGACCAAGAGAAGTTCAGGCTGACCCTGGAGCATTCCCAAAACAGAGTTAGATCCAGACAGCACAGCTCCAGGGAAGGCCAGCAAGACCCAAGGGGAAAAGACATGGAGCAGGGAAGAGACAGGAGGAGGCCAGCCTGGGTGCTCTGGAGCCATGTGCCTGGGAAGTGAAGAGGCCGAAAGGGAAGAAAAGATGAGGGAGGCTGCTCTGAAAACTACAACAGAACCAGGACGGCCCTGTGCCCAGAGCACACTCCTTCTCAAGGCCAGGCTGATAGGTGATACTTACCTTTGAGTCCAGGTAACCCAGCCCAAGTTCTCAGTATTTACTCTTTTCACTGGGGCACCCCACAGTCAATTCTACACAAGCAGTCAGAATGGTCTTTCAAAGTCTGATCATATCCCTCCCTGCTCAATGGCTTCCTATCATGCTCAGGACAAAGTAGGAAATGCTTACTGTCATCCACAAATCCTTAAGCCGTGTGGACTGTGCTCAGGCCTTAGCACTGCTGATGCCACAATACATGCAGATGTGCATTCGTGTTTGTTTAGAATACAAGAGCCTTGAAGCGAGGACTTTGCAGCTGTCACCACCACGTCGTCACTAACTCAAGTAGCACCTGCTGCATCCTGAGGAGGATACGCCTATGATGACTGAACACCTACTACAAGGCAAGTCCTGGCAGGCATGGGACAATGCACATCCACTCACTCTCCAGGCTGGTCTCTCATGTTAGCGTGGGGACGCTCAACCAGAGATTACCGGAGGGCCAGGAAAGGGGTTCATGACATCCTTGAGCCCCCAGAAATCAAATACAAAATAAATTTGTGTACATGTAGACAGTTTTCTGGTGAGAGAATTCATGGTTGCCAGAAGACCCCAAAAGTGGAAGAGTTTAAGGAGCAAGAAGGAGGAAAGAGGGGATAGTCCAGTCACTCCATGTGGCCTCTGCCCCCAGCAGGAGGCCAGCTGGAAGTTCACAGGTGGGTAAACTTAACCAGACTCCAGTGAGGCAGACGTGCTAAGTCCCTGAGTTAGAGCACTTATGGGAACAGGCCTTGGGTCCTGCGGCAGGCCATCAGGAACAGCTTCCCTTGAGAGTAGTCAGAACAGGCCCCTGAGGCTGGCAGGGTGGGGGGCCAGGAGTGGACAATAGACCTACCCTGCAGAGGCCTATCATTCCTGAGAACAGGAAATAGTAGAAGGAGTGGGTGTGTGGAGAGAGGAAGGGGCTCATGGAGAGGTCATAGAAAATGGACAGGTGGCCTGTTGGGTAGCCTGACTTGGGCAAATATGTCCTGAGGCTGGCTGTCAAGCAACATGGTGAGGAGCAGTGGCTTTGGGCCCCCCACACTTGGTATTAAGTATTGAAAGCCATGAGATTGGATGAAATAGTCCAGGAAGAGAAAGAAGGCCAAGGACTGAGCTTCAGAGTCTGAGGACATGAGGCAGGAGATGAGAAGGAAGGTCCAGAGGTACACAGGAGGATCACCGAGCCTTAAATCCCTCCTGGCAGCTCAGACAATAATCACAGACTTTTGGAAGCTGAAAAGACGAGGGACAAGACAAGTGATAGCCGACAGCGGACCCAGGAGTGCTGAATCCCCAGCTAGCAATGCAAAGCCAGGCATTAACCTGTAACACTGCAAAAACCCACAAGGCCTCAGGAAACCACAGCATCGGTACCGAGGTGTTGAGAGCCACAGCCAAAGGGGCCCCAGCAAACTTCCAGCTGCCAGCTGATGACTGTCTCACAGCGGCCCCAGCAACATCTAGCTGATTGGCTCCTCCACGGAGATGCTCATTGGGCTGTTTCCCTGCCCTTTCAGACCACGGAGCTGCTCATTGGGGGACTTCTTTGGCTCCGTCCTCGTGACCCAGCCAATCGGCCTCAAGAGCAGGAGGATTGTGGGAGGTGGTGAGGTTTGTGTGGGTGAGAGGCTTGTGGAAGCCGGTGGTGGCAGTTGGGCTCTGAGGGGTTTTTTCCTTGAGGAGCTATTTTGTTTGGCGTTTGTAGTTCTAAAAATAAAGTTAGTTTCTTTTGACAAGTGGCTCCTGAATTGTGCCAAGCCAGACTGCGGCACTGAGGAACAAGGGAAGGGTAGGATGAGGACTAAAAGAAGGATTGGACAGAGGCTTTGGAGAAGCACCTTGCTGAGAGGCTTTGGAGAAGCACCTTGCTGAGAGGCTTTGGAGAAGCACCTTGCTGAGAGGCTACAGGCACGTTCACTTAAAACTCTCTAAGACTCAATTTCTTCAGCCACAAGTCTGAAAAATGGGGGTAAATGTCCCTCTCACGGGGTTCTTACGAAAAGGAGTGAAATCGAATGGAAAGAAACACCCATGTGCATGGCCACTACTTCCAGTCCTTCCATTCTGGGGATGTAGCTCAGTGGTGCAGCACTCACTTAGCATGCTCCCATGGTGTCTCCCAGTAGACATCACTTGTCAAGGTCACCAGTGCCCTCCATGTTGCCAGGCCCATTAGTT